GGGTAAATAAAAAAACCCTTTTTTACTCCTTCCCCCCCCTCCACCTCCTTTTCAGGGATTTAGAAAATGATGATATCTTCCTCAATGTTACTCAGATATCGAGCTAGGTTGAACTTGACCTGGTCACATTCCAACATTTTTTAAGCCGTTTCGTTCCAATCGTTAAAAAAAAGAAATTTCAGTTAGCTGTTAGTTTTAAGGAAAAGAACGGAACGTTCGTTTCATTAACGGCATTCACTTTTTTTTAAATTAACGTTAGTTAACAATCTCAATTTTATCTAAAACATTAATGGAAAATTTTCAACAAACGTTTACGGCTTGAGTTGTTAACTCTGTATTAAACTTTTAATGGCGCCAAAAAAAATTAGTTAACAGTTTATGAAATCGTTAAGGGTGCAGCTGTTAATGGTCTTTTGTAGTATTAATGGCGTTAACGGTTTGTCAAATTCGTTAACAGTTTATGAAATCGTTGACAGTGCAGCCGTTAATGGTCTTTTGTAGTAAACGGCGTTAACATTTTGTCAAACGCAGAAGACAACAAAATGCAGTATGGAAACAAAATGGCCGTTTTACACTTTTTTCGAGTAAAATCCAATCTTTATATTTTCTATTCTCTTTGACTATATTTGTGCACATCATATATAACATTTATCAAGAGTTAAGGACTGTAAGCTAAATTTTAAGTATTCTCCTTGCAAAGCTAGCAATGCCCGATTTACAACTTTGCTTTTTTTCTTTCTTTTCGTTTCTAATTTTTCTTCTTATTATTTCTTACCGTTTGTTTTGGAACAGGATTGTTTGCAAACAAGGAACCAGTTGAAAACCATCAGTGGTCAGGGAAAGCAAAGGAGAAAGGAGGTTAAAAAACAAAATAACAGGAAAAGAGGAAAATGAAGATAAGAGAAGGGGGAAAGAGAAGGCGGAGGGAGAGGGAGACGGAGGAAAGAAAACTATACATGAAAGGAAAACAACGAAAAAAAGAGAGAAGGAGAAAGGAGAAGAAGAGAGAAGGGGAAAGGAGACAGGAAATTAAAAGAAAATACACATGAAAGGAAGAAACAAAACTAAAGAAAAGGAAAGGAAAGGAAGGAAAGAAAGAGGAAAAGAACAGCACAGGAGATGGTCATAAAAGGAAAGAAAATGAAAGTAGGATGTAAATAATTTTTAACAAAAAAATAAAATAGTTGAAAAAGCAAAAAGGTAAAAAAAAGAATTGAGTTATAAGCTAAAAACCCAGAAATTCTAGACTTTAATCGCGACCAATAATAGCTCTATCTGATGTAAATGTCTCGAGAAATTGATGTAAATTGATGTCCAAGTTATACGAAAACTCACACTAAACAGCCATTGGAGGAAGTTCTGGACACATGATACGGACGGAGCCTAGTGACCAAGTATACTACACTGCCATTGGGGTATTTGGGTATATAGGTATTTGGCAAGGAGTAAGGAATATAACGGAGAAGGGATCGACCCGGCCCTCCCTACCATATGATTATACATGATTTGCTGACGACGGTAATCCATTTGAAAAAGAGTTTTAAAAGGTCGTCTTTAATTTGTTAAATGTGTTTTTCTATAATAACATATCAAATAAAACCGATTTTTTATATGATAAAAAAATAAGTCTGTATTGCCTATATTTTTGCATCCCAAAAAAGTGTTTATGCCATGGCGTATTCCATATTCCTCCTTGGTATTTGGGTATGTATCCACTTTAAACCTTTGTCTGAACAATAATGTTGAAGAAACTGTTGTTTTCCTAGGCTTAAAAGTGTATAATTCTGATAATTCCAATGTTTTCATGCAGTAAAAATGCACAAGTCACTTTTCTGAAGAAACCACAATTGTAATTAATACATTTTTAAAATTATAAACATTGATTTATATTTCATACAAAGCTTTAAGACCGGGTCTCGTTGAAAATCGGACATTGCTAACTTTGCATGAAGGGCAACTTAAAAATTTGCTAACAGTCCCTTTAATTTGCAATAATTTATAATATTTTACAAGTTAATCAAAATCTTATCAGTATTCTACAATGTTTGTTAGATTTTATCAGTGTTTGAAGAGCTGACCCCACATCCTTTAACTTGATCTCTGATGATATAAGACCTTGTATATCTGGGACACTAAAAATATCATTGTTAAATTGTTGTCAAGATAATATTAAATTTGTAAATGTCTGTTTTCCTGGTCCAGCAAGGGTTATTGAGATAAAAACGTTACAATGTTTTAGATGGTATCGATGTGAATCAGACATTCCACTCTATAAAAGAAAAGTGACTTGTAAATTGTAATTATATCAATGCACAAAAATTGTTTAAATTAAGATGTGTTAGCTAGCTTAATAGAACCTGTACCTGTTTTTTGTAAAACTATCCGCTAGTTTTGTCAGCGCCTCTTTAGGATTTTTCCAACCACCAAATACAGTTCCACGGACGGTCTTCCCCTAAATATTGTGTAAATCTCAGTGTACTAGGGTCAATTGGAATTTGAACCGGACCGACCTCTTGTACCTGTGTTATGTGCGGCAAGTACCGGCCCAACCAAGGAGTATGCAATAAAAGCCGCTCTGCCATATGATTATACATGCTCTGCAGACGGTACTCTATTTGAAAAAGAGTTTTTTATATAACTATAGGCTGTCTTAAGGTGTCTTTTAATTTTTAAATGTGGTTTTTTATATTCCATACTTCTTGGGCCCCACACTACGCTATTCTGGCTCTGTTTCAACTTTGATGGCGCAGCTAGACTTTTTACAAAACCCGGCCTATCAGAGACCTATTTTACCTACACTGCTAGCTTAGCTTAGTGTGTTGTTATTCTGCCCTAAAGCCAAAAAGTTCTGCGTGAATTGGCGCTAATATTCTTTATATCCACTGATTTGAGAGTGCAGTAAAGTGCAGTAACTGTGGGATATCCAAACATTAATAAATTGATCCGTAGGTCAGAACAAGAGCACTGTTAAGTCAGGTTCATTTCAAGAACCTGACCGTCATCTAACCAGCTAGAGCGAGCTGTACAGTACACATAAAGATTATACAAGTGAAAAAGGGACAGTGCACAAATTGAACCAGTTCCTTCTTGGGAAATTCTTGTGAGAGGGGATCCATAGATTAACTACAGAAAATGCTGACCTCTGAGATGGGAATTCTTGTTTTGTGGATATGAAAACGTGTTCATGATCTTTTGTTAATCCACAGATTAATCAAATCTTTTTCGATATCCTATGAAGAGTGTCGTCTAAGGAAAGCGAACAGCGGATCAGAAGCCGATGAGAAAAATTGCTGAAAAGGGGCCACTGTGGATATCAATATCAAGCAATCAGGAATATGGGACAATACAAAAATTCCTTTTCTTACCTGTCCAATAATATTTTTTTACCTGTCCAATTATCACATTTGGTGGAATACTAATGACAGCACTTTGCGGAGATAATCCAATCATGACTGAACAGAAAAATTATGTAAAAATCATAAAAGGTTTCAATTAGTATTGATCTTTGTTGCTGAAGGTGACCAAGGCAAGCTGTTTTATATTTGAGAAATAAATTTCTAAAGGTCGCAGCTTTAACAATTTAATTCATGAATTTTCGAGGAATAAATATTATGTTATTTAGGTGAAAGTGTACGCTAGGATACAATCTAATTTTTTCCGGCAATTTGAGCAATATTTGAGAGATAAAAACATTGAGTTCTCTGCCTTCTATGATTAGTCAAAGGTTGATTTCGAAAACTGTAAAATTCTTGGCGTCCTCTACTATTTGTCTTGGCAATTTCTGATTGGGACACCCAAGCCAATATATCCCTCAACTATCTGTAGAAGTACTGCAGCTACAAATTACAAATCCTTAGCGACAATTATAATAAAAGAAATTCCGAAAAAAAAGACAATAATTCCACTGATATTCGGATACCACCGTCTTAATACTGCCGGCACATTTCATGGAAATTTTTTTAAAACATAACAAAATTATAAACAGTTAGCTAGAACATTTAATAGATCGAACATTGCATAAACAGTTAGCTATAACATTTAATAGATCGAACATTTCATAAACAGCTAGCTAGAACATTTAATAGATTTAACATTTCATAAACAGTTAGCTAGAACATTTAATAGATCGATCATTTCATAAACAGTTAGCTAGAACATTTAATGGATCGAACATTGCATTAACAGTTAGCTAGAACATTTAATAGATTGAACATTTCATAAACAGTTAGCTAGAACATTTAATAGATCGAACATTTCATAAACAGTTAGCTAGAACGTTTTATAGATCGAACATTTCATAAACAGTTAGCTAAAACATTTAATAAATTGAACATTTCATAAACAGTTAACTATAACATTTAATAGATCGAACATTTCATAAACAGTTAGCTAGAACATTTAATAAATTGAACATTTCATAAACAGTTAGCTAGAACATTTAATAAATTGAACATTTCATAAACAGTTAGCTAGAACATTTAATAGATCGAACATTTCATAAACAGTTAGCTAAAACATTTAATAAATTGAACATTTCATAAACAGTTAGCTAGAACATTTAAAATATAAATGCCCTGTCTATAAACTTTCCTGATTATGAAATGTCCTGTCTATTGCATGGCCTGTCTATGAAATGTCCTGATTATGAAATGTCCTGTCTATTGCATGTCCTGTCTATGAAATGTCCTGATTATGAAATGTCCTGTCTATTGCATGGCCTGTCTATGAAATGTCCTGACTATGAAATTTCGTGTCTATTATATGTCATGTTTATAAAATGGCCTGTCTATTATATGTCGTGTCTATTATATGTCATGTTTATAAAATGGCCTGTATATTTTATGTCTTGTCTATTATATGTCCTGTCTATTAAATGTCCTGTTTATCATATGTCCTGTCTATTACATGTCCTGTCAATTATATGTTCTGTCTATTATATGTCCCGTCTATTATATGTCCTGTCTATGAAATGTCCTGTCTGTGAAATGTCCTGTCTATAAAATGTCTTGTCTATGAAATTTCCTGTCTATGAAATGTTCTGTCTATTATATGTCCTGTCTATAAAATGTCTTGTGCATGAAATGTTCTTTCATGAAATTTCCTGTCTACTATATGTCCTGTCTATGAAATTCCCTATCTATTAAATGCCCATTAATAAATGTTTTAGCATTTCATCCTTAACCAGTCCAAGTTTAAAGGGTACTGTTGGGAATCAAGGGAAGGCCACATTAAAAATGGAAATTACTTGTATAGTCCATTTGATAGATTACCTGCTACACCCCATCCAGTCTGTATCGAATGTATCACTTGTTCTAAATTTATAAATTAAAATTTTAGTGAATGTCTTCTTTTTACATGCAAGGGATGTCATGGCTTCCCAGGAATCTAGGATGGTTTTAAAACCAGAGAAAAGAGAGTGACATAGATCATCATGGGTATTATAATCAACAAGTGAGATGGCACTCTAAAAACCGATCGTAAAAGCCCACCACCCTGTGAAAGGAGATAAGCAGTTTGTGTAGTCTGTGGAGGAGATCGTGTGCTTGGTAAGTTTGCTATTTAGATTGTATTCAAAATATTTTCTCCAACCAAAGATATTAACAAAAAGATTATACAAAAACGATTTATCGAGTTAATTTGCCTTAAGTATGCTTATTAAGCATAACATTTTGATCAGGATAAACATCTTGGATGATTGTGAAGCGATTAAAAGTCTGTAAATTTAAATGTTTAAAAGCCATCCTTAAAACCATCACTATTAGTATTGGTAGCAATGAAATTAAAAAAATCTTAGGCTCTCTTTTTTGAAATTTTTTTTGGGGATTTTCCCAAACTTTATTTTATTTTAGAAATCCTCAGTTTTATCCCATTCTTTTTTTAAAAAGATTATAAAAAAATAACATCGTTTGTCAACATCTGAAAATTTATCCAACTGCTAAGAGAATATATTTGTTCTAATCTCTAATGTCCAAATGCTTCCAGAAAAAGATGAAACCCATGAAACCCCCAAGCTGGTTAAAACAAAGAAGGAAAAACTCCGAGAAAAATGTGTGTGCATAAAAAATACAGACCTCTGGCTTTTGGGCTACCACTGCATTCAAAGGCAAAATCAACTCCGCTTCCGCAAATCTGAAGACAAACACGTAACAACTTCATTTGAAATAACTTAAAGGAATTGATTCTTCGCCACAAACTTTAATTTTCTCATATCTTTAATACTTTAACATGTAAACTGTTTACATTTCAAACTTAATCTAACAGAAATCATTGTTTGAAATATCTAAGGTATATACGACATGGATTGCAAAGATATAAGAATTAGAAAATCAAAGTTTGTGGCTAAGACTCAATTCCTTTATTCTAAAGTCACACAATTGTTAGAGATACGTATTGTTTAAGGACTTTCTCGTCTGCACGTCGCAGGTTTAAAAAATCAGTTCTTGCCCCGTGAAGAATTTGACTGATTAAACTATTTTTTTTTAGCTTTTTCTTTCGTTATTTTCTTCGGTAGTTGTGTTTATTTTATAACAAAGATAAAGACAACACGGTAATTGAAAGTTTGTTAAATCTAAGACCAAAAAGTAATTAAATTCAAAATTTAAAACCCGAACGCATCTCACCCTGTTTAGTCCAGGGAGCTGCCGAGTAAAAGGTTCAATCAATGTAAGTTTATAAAAGGTGAGGAAGAAATGGTGTGAGCACACATTTTGTAGGACATACAGGGTGTCCCACATCATATTAGACCGAGAACGGGTTTAAATTACGATTTTCGGGACTAATCAGAAAATTTAATTAGAATGGATCATTTTGAAAAATAAAACAAGGCTTATATAAGAATTTTCTTGCGAAAAATGATGAGTTTTTCGAGTATTAAGGATCTATTTTGGTGTTATAGATTGAAGATAATCTAATTTGTAAACAAAGATCAGAATTTTCTGGGGCAAGCTAGGCCAGGCTTGTTTACACACTTTTGTTTATGATAAACCAGTTTCTTACAGGGTTCCACAGATAATTCCATTCAATGTGATCCCAAATGTTGATTGATTAATATTAGGGGAAGAAATTAACCATGTTGTTTTTGTAAACAATTGGATGTCAAGTTGTAGAAAAATTCCATACTGCAGAATGTATACTCAGGGGCGGATATAAGGATTCTGTAGGGGGGGGTAAAAATTTTTAATNCAGACAAATCCTTAGTCTTTGTCATTGTCAGGTGTTACTTTTTAAACGTAGTTTCCTTTTAATTTTGTATTTTCCAGGGGGGGTGGCAGTGCCCCGTCTGGAACTCCCAGGGGGGGCAACAGGACTACTGCCCCCTAGGTACCCCACTGTGCCTGGCCTGAGGAAGGGAAATGCAAGCAGATGTAATATCAAAAGAGCCTCCCTCATGGGTGCCCCCTCTAGCCTCTCAGGGGGGGCAAGCGTAGAGGGGGCGGGGGGGGGCGTTTTCATGGTGTTCCGTAGCCATGTTAGCAACCTAATTATCAATATACATAAGTTCCGTTTATATTTTTTGTTTAAATTTTAAACAGTTTTCAAAGCTTAAAACTGTTTAGGCATCTGCAAAATGCCGCAAAAACTTTTACTATCATGAAAATAGAAGTCTTTACACTTGAGTGCAGACTAAGCAATAGCGAATGTATTTTTTTTTTGAAGTGAAGGGGTCAAGGCAACTGTAACTTGAAGAGGCAGCAAGTGGAGTAACCCCTGCTATTCATGGGGCCTGCCCCAGGATTCTAGGGGGGGTATTTACCCCCAGGATTCTAGGGGGGGTATTTACCCCCAGGATTCTCGGGGGAGGGGGGTAAATAACCCCAATAACCCCCCTTATATCCGCCACTGTGTACTGTATACTGCAAGGAAGTGTTTATCATAATTTATCTCTTATATAAATTACTGATATTTACACCATTTAACACCCCAAATGCAGTACACATTTAAGAAGTGTAGCACAGGTGCACAAAAAAATGCTTGTCAAAGTTCACAATGACACAGAAAGTTAATTTTCATGCCCCTAAATGTACTCTCAATCAGAAATTGAATTATATGAACCCCCAAGGTTATAATGCAAGGAAAGTTATTTCAGAGGTGTACGCATCTTTTGTACTGCAGTGTACTGTCTCTGAGCGGTAATGTAAATACAAGACGGATGTCGAAGCCTGACATGGGATCCATCTTTCACATGAAAAGTCATTAAAATATTCTGGTCATTGGAAACTATTATGCGAATAATCAACATTATCAAAATTTAATGCTTTTAACCTCCTCGGATACTAAACGAACACTGATGCATGTATTGTTTATAAATTCCGTCCAGAGCGAACTAGTTTGAATAGGTACGCAGAGTATACGCGCAACTGCAATTAACTTTCCTTGAATTAGTACCTTGTGAACCCCTGGCTCCTTAAGCGGTCCAACTTTGCGCAAATCTCGTCCCCCTCACCCTTCATATGTTGGTGTTAGGTTATTAGGTTAGGAAATTGTGCTGGGAAAGTTGTGCTGGGGAAATGACCTACCACCCATATGTTCACGTTGGTTTGGAGTTTATTTTGCCTGGAAGATTTTATGTGGTGTATCCACATCTGCTAGAAGAGTATGAGTAGCTCCAAACTGTAGAGCTGTTTCAAGTTTATCTGCATCAATATCTACAGCTATAATTGTCTCCGCCTAAAATTAGCAGTGTAAACTTTGGTTCACTTTATGTACCGGGCCGACATTTAAACAGCTAGAGTAAGCTGTACAGTACACATGCAAACTATGTAATGCAAAACAGGAATGTACATCAAATGAATAAGTGAACACATTCTGATTGATAAATAGATTATTTTGTAAATTTCAAGTAGGTTGCAACAGTGTTATCAATAATATAACAAGCGTTTCTGTTGATAAAATAGTACGTAAATACGTAAACCTTGATCAGTTTAATAAGGTTTAAAGGATCTTACAATCCCTTTAAGAACAAAACGATCTACATACCTTGGCAATTGCTGAGGCCATGATTGCTGAAAGTCCGACAGCCCCGGCCCCCCACACTGCCACCTTTATAAATCTAACTTTATAAATCTAATTTATAACTTTATAAATCTAATTTATAACTTTATAAATCTAATTTATAACTTTATAAATCTAATTTATAACTTTTATAAATCTAATTTATAACTTTATAAATCTCACTTATAAACTTTATACATTTATAACCTTTATACAATAAGTTTATAACCTTTATACAATACAGGTATAACCTTTATACAATACATTTAAAACCTTTATACAATACATTTATAACCTTTATACATTTATAACCTTTATACAACACATTTAAAACCTTTATACAATACATGTATAACCTTTACACATTTATAACTTTATACAATGCATTTATAACCTTTACACATTGATAACCTTTATTCAATGCATTTATAACCTTTATACATTTATAACTTTTATACAATACATTTATAACCTGAAAACTCTGAATAAGGAAGACGACTTTATAAGCAATAGTTACAAAGCAAATAGTTTTATTAGACACTGATTAAATCACTAGTTCATTGGACTATTTAAAGTAATAACTTGAGTCTAAAAGTCGTCTACCTATCTCAGAGTTTTCTGATAATCTATAACATAATTAGAATCACTTTTGTCTGTTTTGGTGTTTATTTGTCTGTCTGTTTTTATTAAATAAACGCCAGAACCATTCGGGTCCAAATTTGTATGACTGACCTTGCAGTGAAGATTTATGGATCATCAAAGTTAAAATATCGTCGACATTTGTCATTTAGGGTTACAACTAAAATTATAGATTAAAAGATGAGCGCGAAGCGCCCTGAAAGCCTAAAATTTTTTAAAAATTATTTTATGCAACAAGTATGCTATTTTTACTGTGTGTAAAAAATACACACTACGTTTGAAAACGATGCGAAGGAATTTTTATTTTTACCTATACCTAACTTTAAAAGTCTTTCACAACAAAAATGACAATTATTCAACAGGAATAGCCAAATTATTCAATATTAAGCTTCTATTTCAATTATGAACATTTTCTCTTTGTATACATTGTAAAACAGAAGAATAAAAAGTTTGCAGATTTTATCAAAAAAAATTCGTGGATTTTCAAAATTTTATGAAAATCAAATTTTGTTGGAGGCTAATTTATTAAATCGGTTCAGCCATTTATACGTTTAATGGATACAAACACCCTGACACCCAAACAGACATGCAAAGTTTATATTTAAATAGATAGAGAGTGGAGATAAAGTAAAAATATCAAATATTTGATCAAATATTGTGTTTGGTATATATTTAAATACATACATACCATACATACCAATACATACTAATACATAGCAAACACAATTTAATCAAATATTTAAATTTTCTACTTTAAATAGACATTTTTTAAATGAAATAAATTATATTTTTTACATTACATACAAACAAAATACGTATATCCTAATAAGTTACAGTTAGGTCTCACGTCTTTATATACTTCATCAAAAAAGAACTATATTTGAATCTGAAACCCAGCGGTTGAAAGCAAAAAACTGTTACCTGAATTATCTCAGCGGTTAAACTAATTAAAAAGTTTTAAGTAATGAATAAAAATGTAAACGACAAAAATACCAATTTAGCGGTTGAACAAAACTTAAATTTGAGAAAAAAAGTTGCACTTCTTATTTTTAGACTGCATAGAGTCTAGGCTAGATCTCAATCACTCATTCAACCGCTCTCTACAATGTATATATCATTGTAATAATAATAATAATAAAACTAGATTTACTGGAATTTACCTTATCAGCCTGTTTGACCCCAGCTACTGCTTCAGCTGCCCCCCAGCCGGTCAAAACAGCACACCCTAGAGGCGCTAAACTCTCCAGACAAGTCTCAGGAGATACCTTATATTATATTATAATTAATTAATTGAACAAGTAAACTAGAGAAACAAATTAAAAGTCAACCGAGTCTTAACCTCAGAAAAAATGTCTACCCTTTAAATGTCGCTTTTTCGTATTGAACCTCTTTATTACTTTTTGTTTTTTAGTTCTGTAATTTGTCAATAGCTTATATCTCAGCTATTTCTTAAAAATTTTTTGATTTAAAAATGGTTCTTAGTAGCTTATCAATGGACCTTTTATAATCCGTAAAGAAAATTCGGGAAAATAATACATGTCGCTGACTGTTATTATAGTCCACTTAGCATTAAACATGTCAAAAGTGCAGTCTATAGTGTACACGGACCAATTCCGGTGAACAGATTGTAAGCGTAATTTTGAGTCACCTTCCATTTACGGAGGTGCATGTCAGATTTACACGGATACCCTTCAAACCATTGTTTGATCGAGTATTTCGTAGATATTCCTATTTTTATAACGGGAAATTAAGTGCCAAGAGAAAGTGCAAGTGTACACTACAATTAAACCCTAAAAAAGCCATACATCCTAAGACTTTATCATATGTCTTCTTGACAATTTTTCAATGGGTTTTATACTATTTTACGCAGATCTCAGTATTGGCGAAAATAAATAAATAGCAATGAATATGCGGGAACAGTTTTAAATATAATCATTTAATTAAAAAAAACTTAATATCTTTAACAATTCCATTATCAGAAAGTGAAGAATACGACATTTGATGAATTCTTTCGTTGTATGGCTTATTTAGGGTTTAACCAGAGGTCGGAAACGTCATGTTTGTGTGTCTGTGCCAAAATTGTGTGTGTAAGGAATACCGAACTCGTCTGCAAAGCAGTGCGACTGGCTTTCTCATGTCAGACCAGCAACATTTCCTTTCCCTTAATTCCTCTATTCCCTGGGTTTAACTGTAGCACGGAGTCTAGACCTAGAGTCTCCTGGCCCAGCACTCAATCTGCATTTATCCAAATGATGGTGTCGACCTCATTGTTGTCAGACAATGGTTTAAGTGTATCATTGTGAATTAGCCATTCCTCTAAATAAATGAAAGGAAACTTGAAATTACACTTAGCTTAGCATAATTGATATACACTGTTTTAAGTTGTTAATTTAGGTCATCCCTATGCAGTAAATGACTCCATAAGAGTCTCTCAGTCCCGTATAAATCCAGTTACAACTCAATCCCCCTCGTTGGTCTACGAGGTATAAGAGCTAATCAGTTAAACAACTCTTCTCAATTAATGTCAAACAAGGACAGGGATCTTGTAAACTATCAATGCCAAACACAGACATGATCTTGACCTATCAATGTCAAACACGGAGGCAATCTTGTAAACTATCAATGCCAAACACAGGCATGATCTCATTAGCTATCAATTTCAAACACAGACAGGATCTCGTAAACTATCAATGCCAAACACAGGCATGATCTTGAGCTATCAATGTCAAACACAGGCATGATCTTGAGCTATAAATGTCAAACACAGACACAATCTCATAAAAAATTAATGTCAAACATGGGCATGATCTAATAAGCTATTAATGTCAAACATGGAACATGATATCATCAACTTGTTTGTTAAACAAGGAACGATTACTAATCTCACTGTAATCTAAGGAGAGTCTTTTCAAACTGAGTATATTTTTGGGTTCTAGGTTACAAATTAAGTTTAATAGACTTAATTACACGTTTTGCATTGTTATAAACAAACGTAGTTAAGCTAATCACAACTTCGGTTTGACGTAGTTATTTATAGACGTATCTAGGTTAGGTTAATCACAATACCAGATTTACGGTCAATGTAAACCGTAATTTATCTACTGTATTTGTTACACCTATACAGATACACATTGTACAATACCACAGAATATTAAAATTTATCCATATGACTGCACAAGATATGGAGAAAGGATTTATTCACAACAAAAAAAGTTAGGCTCAGGTCAAATTCAAATCAATTCATTATATAATCTACTTTTAAAATTTTAAGAATAAAAGATAAATAAAAGTCTTCACCTTTCCCAACTGAGACACATGAACAACAATATATTCACAGAAAGTTCCCAAACCAAAAAAAGAATATAACTTTTGGCCCCTGAAAAAAATGTACATAATTTTTATAGACCAAAGGCGCGACTTGTGAAATTTTCTAGGGGGAGGAATTGAAATATTTCTCGCCAAGCCAAAACATCGCCCTGGATTTTTAAAATGTAAGATGGATATTTTTTGCCACTTTTTAGGCAAGAAAGAATGCATAGGTCTAGTGTAGTTATACTCGTACTCTCCAGTCTAGACTTCCCAATATAAAGTCGACCCAGCACGTTTTACGCATGAAATATTGGCCGGCAAGATCTATGTGGACAGTGGACACAATAAGAAAATATGATTACAAAAATAACGATTAAAAAAGATTTTTAAATCTTTAAGGAAAAAACTAATTTTAAGAGAAAAAAGCCAAGAATCCGAGCAAAATCTGATTTTCTAACCCCTATATCTTCATGCACTACAATGTTTTTATAGACCTTGGATATTTCAAACTATTAATTCTGTTGAGCAAATACTCTAAGTTTAAAATGTCAAAGGTGTACACCATAAGATTTTACGTAGATTTTCTGTACATTTATGATTTAGTTCTGTTCGCTTTGTGAATTTGATGTCGGATTATCAAGTCTATCCAGTTACTTAAAAATCAAATAGGTTGTTAAGTACTTGACAATTTATTTGTTAAAAATCAATGTTTTTAGTGAAATGTGAAATGTAGTCTAAAATAATAGATTGCAGTTGAATGAATATATTTGTACACCAAATATATTATTTTACCAAATTCAGTTAAATATAAACAAAAACATTGTTGTTAAATTTACAAAATATTGATATGGCAATTTGACAATTAGAGAAGAGCTTTTTTTAAAGAATGTTTAATTTAAGGATTTTTTATTTCTAACTTTTTAAAATTACAATATCAAGCATATAAATAAATAAATAAAAAAAAATAAATGAATAAATATATAATAAAAAATATGAATAAGTAAACCGTGACAAAATTGTAAGCTTAAAGATTTTAGAATTATAGACCAATAAGTGATTGATTTCAAATAGAATAAACCGAATGCTTCTCTGGTTAGTTCGGGGTGACCTATCTCTGTTGGAGGTTAGGAAGTTAATGAAGGTTTACCCCTGGAGTCACTCCTGAGTTCTTATATTATGTCTTTGTTACACTGAATAGTTACAAATGTGGAGAGAAAGCTTGACAATTTGTATAGTTGTCTGGAATTATACTCTTGTATTTATGGTCTAGGTCTGGGATTAATAGAGTTTAAAAAAATATAAAAATGATGATAAATATTCTTACAATTTTGCAATTTTGTGCAATTTTCTGCACACTTAATTTGTAACAAAGTTATTGATAAATTGTTAAAAATATCTGTTTTTTTTGCCTTTTTCTCATATTTTTTTGTCCTTTTTAAAATCCTCCCTAGCACCCTATAATTATTAAATCTAGCGGTCTAAATATGTTAAATATGATGGCCTTGAAAAATTGCAACTATGCACATGTATTTCAACTCATGTGCGCCTCTGTGTGTTCATATTTTAAAAAGTGCTTTAATTGGCAAAAAATCAGAGTGTACATAGCAAACAGGCTGGACTCAAACGAAGATGACTTTCTTGGGAATTATTATTAAACATTTAAACAGTTAGACATTAGAAAATGAATTCAAATTTTCTAAGACTGCTGGAGAGGAAAGGTGAATCTATATAAAAAAGCTTATGTATATATTTAAACTTGTATATATTTGTATATATGTTAGACAAACGTCTAAACCGAATGGCCAAATTTTTTAAGGTAACCCTTAGCTACATTGGTGGTAACATAGGCTTAAAGAATTCGATTTTTTTTCAAGTGTAATTTTTTCCTCAAAACTAAATAAAAAATTCAACACCGAGCACTTCAACTTGTAGTTCTTAAATATGAAATATCTTGCAAAAAAAGTTACAAGCGGTTCAGTAGATAGTTAAGATAATTAATGCCGATAATTAATGAAGATAATTAATGGAGATAATTAATGTAGATAATTAATGTAGATAATTAATGTAGATAACTAATGTAGATAAATAAGATAATTAATGTAGATAATTAATGTAAATAATTAATAAGGATAAATAAGAGCGTTATACTTGATAAGTTAAAGGTTTAAAGAGCGGTGCTGTAAATTAAACACAACACATGAAATTAAGCCAACAGTCCCTTTAATAAAAAGATTCTTTTTAATTTTACTTTGTTGAAATTCTGATGTTTTCTTCCTCCAGAGCCCGCGATTTAAAAGCTTCGGCTCGAGTCTTAATTCCTTAAATGCAGCTTTAAATGAGAAAAGCTCACATTGAACACCTGATAAAAAATTAAGGTTTTTAAATTTATTTATTATTTTATCATAGAACTTATTCAATTTCGGCGTTCCTTTTAATTTTAATTTTACTGTCCCCAAAAGTGTTAATATGTATATCCCCCCCCCCCCAACCCAAAAAAGGCCTTAGAGTAAAAGTGTGAAGTCCAACGAATAGGGGAAATCTTTTTGTGAAAATTTCTTATTTTTTGCGAAAAAAAGATTTTCGCCGAAAATTTTGCTTTTTTTGCAACTCTCAAAATTTTTTATTAATCCGATTTCCATTGAAAACAAATTCAAACCGTTAACTTTAATGATTCAGGAGGTTTAAAAATGGTAAAAAAGTTCAAGAAAATATGAAAAAAACATTTTTCTTTTGGCAATTAATAAAATGTAACACGTGTGTAAATGTAACATCGGCCGGATCGTACTTCTAGATCTTTAAGGGTTTATGATAAAAAAAATTCCTCTCTTGTGATTGCAGGCGTAGCAGTCTCCACACCAAGGTAACCCACAGGGCACAACCTAACATGGCAAATTTATTTTTAAAATTTATAAAAGTTTTATTTAATGATGAAAACCAAAACAAATCCATAAAACTAAAATAAACTATATCGTGCAATGGTCGATCCTTCCATTGCAGATATTAAAGCTGTGTATATCTGCATAAATACTTTGCTTGGGTATTTTCCGTTTGGGCGTTTGTTTGTTTGCATCCAATAAAAATCAAAACGGCTGAACCGATCGGGCCCTAATTTTGTGTGGGACGTCACGTGACCCCACGGAAATAGATTTTCATTAAATTTAAAAATCCACGAATTTTTTTATTTTTTTTTATAACATTGCGAACTTTTTTTGTTATTGTGTAACAATGAATACAAAGAGAAAATGTTCACAATTGAAATAGATAATGGTCGCCCTAAACGCCTAATTTTGGTAAAAAAGTGTTTTCTTGTGTTGTGTACCTTGTCTCCAACTTTGAATTCATCCACACCTTCTCCAACACTTTCCACCTGGGAAAAAAACTAAATTAATGATTAATGATTGATCAACAAAAAGTATAATCTAATAGAAATCAACAGAAAATAGAATCTACTAGAAATCAACAGAAAATATAATCTACTAGAAATCAACAGAAAATAGAATCTACTAGAAATCAAAAGAAAATAAAACCTACTAGAAATCAACAGAAAATATAATCTACTAGAAACCAACAGAAAATATAATCTACTAAAAATCAACAGAAAATAGAATCTACTAGAAATCAACAGAAAATATAATCTACTAGAAACCAACAGAAAATATGATCTACTAGAAACCAACAGAAAATATAATCTACTAAAAATCAACAGAAAAGAGAATCTACTAGAAATCAACAGAAAATATAATCTACTAGAAACCAACAGAAATATGATCTACTAGAAACCAACAGAAAATATAATCTACTAAAAATCAACAGAAAAGAGAATCTACTAGAAATCAACGAATATGAATCTAATAGAGATCAACAAAAAAATAATGTGCTTCCATGATAAAACTAAAATCATGGCAAATTACACAAAGTGCTTTTGATCTGCAAATGTTTAGTTCTAGGTAGACAGAAAGTATATTATTAATTTACCACTCCAGCCCCTTCATGTCCCAGCACTAAAGGGAATGCTGATGAATGAGAGGGAATGTGTCCAGACCAAGCCCCTAAACAAAACAAAAAATGGGTTACACCCGAAACTTTTCTAGTCAAGTCTGTCTTATTTAAGGTATCCGCAAAAACATCCAGACTTTGTAAAACAGATTTAGAACTTTTTGGAATATTTTTTATTGAATGTCGTCTTCTGACATATGGGAATGCTTACAATGTTTTCAGCGAAATTTTTGTTCAGATTTTCGATCATAACAAAAAATACTTTCGGATTTACAATGTTTTTTTTTAATTTTTAAGATTCAAAGAATTGGACATGTTTTGGAATTCTTTTAAGTCGGATAATCCTTTTTTGGATATACATTAAATAGCTACTAAACAATGTTCTTTTTCTGAAAAGCCTTATGTTAGCTTAATCCTGTGTTTGTCTGACATACAGATACTAGCTGATGTTAGCGTGACCCTGTGTTTACCTATGTTTGACATACAGATGCTAGCTGAAGATAGCGTAACCCTGCGTTTGTCTGACATACAGATACTAGCTGATGTTAGCTTAACCCTATGTTTACTTATGTCTGACATATAGATACTAGCTGATGTTTAGTCCCTGTGTTTATCTATGTCTGACATAAAAATACTAGCTGATGTTTTGTCCCTGTGTTTATCTATGTCTGACATAAAAATACTAGCTGATGTTTTGTCCATGTGTTTATCTATGTCTGACATAAAAATACTAGCTGATGTTTTGTCCCTGTGTTTATCTATGTCTGACACAAAAATACTAGCTTTTGTTTTGTCCCTGTGTTTATCTATGTCTGACATAAAAATACTAGCTGATGTTTAGTCCCTATGTTTATCTATGTCTGACATAAAAATACTAGCTGATGTTTAGTCCCTGTGTTTATCTATGTCTGACATAAAAATACTAGCTGATGTTTAGTCCCTGTGTTTATCTATGTCTGACATAAAAATACTATCTGATGTTTTGTCCCTGTGTTTATCTATGTCTGACATAAAAATACTAGCTGATGTTTTGTCCCTGTGTTTATCTATGTCTGACATAAAAATACTAGCTGATGTTAGCTCAACCCCATATTTACCTATGTCTGACATAAAAATACTAGCTGATGTTAGCTTAACCCTAACTTCCCCGGCAGCTGGGGGGCAAACCTCCACCTTCTCTATGGTTAAAGGCCCATTTATCTAAACCAAATTTTTAATATTTTTTAAATGTATTTATTGTAGAGGCTGAAAGCCTGCTAGGACTGACTAATTTTGTAGTAGACAAAACTGTGGATTTTTTTCCTTCAGGTTGGATTTTTTATTGACATTTGTACTCTTTAAAACTTTAATTGATCACCAAAGCCAGAGAACTCTAAAACTTAGTGTAGCTGTATTCTGAATTGTCACAAGTGTCAACTCAGTTTTTTGTCCAACAAAACTATGAATTAAAGTGATAATTTCAGAATAAAGTGATTATTTTACGGTAAAATAAATGTATTTTTATTTATTCTTTATTATCTGTTTTTACAATTTTTTACTTAATCTTGGAAATCATGTACGTCAACTAATGTGGGAAAACTTCGTTTATATTTTATGATATTTTTTAATTAATTTTTTTACATTTACTTTTTTATAAAACGTTTTAACGGATTTCGAGAAATGTGAGTGGGGCGCAGCATTCTTAGGTAGTTGCGCAAGCGACAAGAGAAATGATCAAATTCTAAACAAATTAAATAAAAAATGTTATAAAATATAAACTTTATACAAATGTGGCGAAAGATAATCGATGACTATAGGTTGTAATATCTGAATGATTTGTTTGAAATTAAATTGATTTTTTTACGGTCTAGTATGTTGCAATTTTCTCAATTTGGTATGAGACGTCTTTAACAAGTTTCTCCTTATAGACGCAACAGATAAAAATAAGATTAGTAGCGATCAAAAGCGCTTTTTTATCGCATTAAGCCTATAACCCTTTCATTTTTCGCGAACACTCCCTTTAAGTAAAAATAAATATTTTACCTCCCAGGCCACTGCTGCAAAACATTCTATAACAGACATAATTTCTCTGAAAACAATGTTGATTTAAATACTACTCAAATACAAGTTACTTATATTGCCATTTTTATTATTGAAACAATTATTAGTATGTACTGACAAGTGCCTCAATAAAAGCCAATAAATGCCTGATCGGAATTTAATTGACATAATTTGAAAGCACTAACCGAAAAAACATCAGAAATCGTCTCACAGCGATCCAGACAGTCATGAACATTTATTCATAAATTGTTAAGCTTCCCCTAGATACATTTTACATTGTACATTTTAGAACCAAATGCTTGCGTTCAGCTTTATTTGGAATAATTTGTCAAATTCTTATCAAATTCTTTTTCGTAAGTTGTTCACTCTTGTACATATTATATACATACTTTTAGTGAAAAATGTTGCTTATGATTTAAAAATACTAACTGAAAAAAATCCTTTTTCAAAAAAGTAACAAAGACGACGATCAATCCTTTGTATACTCCTGTAGCAGCAATATAATTTACTAGACTTTTATTTAGTCTTTTTATTTTCATATTTTTTTGTTTGATTAAATTTCCAGTAAAATCATTTAGCGCAACTATCAGTTAAATATTGAAAACAAAAGTTTACCTTTATATCTCTAGAATTAATAAGTTTATTGTTGGAATTAAAGTCTTATCCTTAATGAGTAACCCTGCATTAAAGAAGTGCCCAGGTTTGCCCGTGAAATTTTAATAAATCGTTTAACACTCACTCTTCGTACGCTATAAATTTCAATATTATTCTTAAGGTCGCAAACACTTTATTGAGATGAGTCTACTCTTATATTACGAACTCCGGGTTCCCAGAATAGTAAGAATGCAGGAAAGAGTTATCTAAACAGCATCGCCAAGTGTTAGGTGTTTATTTCTGATAATTCCTATATTTTGTCCTGGAGTAGAAGTGCGCAAGTCATAGTACATGGTTTATCTGAGAGGCCTAGACATGGACATCGTTTTTTGAACGTACGAAGTTTTTTCGCGGAAAAGGGTGCCGTTCAGAAAAAAACCCATCGATGGAGGAAAGAAATGAATCGTTCAGAGTTAAATAAAAAAATTGTTTTTTTAAAAACGATCTATTTGAAATTGTTCAAACAAACTTGAAAAAACGATAGTTTTTTACTAAACAAAAAATTTTTCGAAAGATTTTGAAAAACACGGTCGTTTTTACTGAACGAATGATTTTTGGGAAAAAAATTGTTTAAAAACGATAGTTTTTTACGAACAATTGTTTTTAACAAATTTTTGAGAAAAACAAACTGTTTTATTTTGCAGGAACGATTTTAATGAAAAAAAAAGATTTTACTGAATGATTTATTTGAACAATTAAAAAAAACCTAACGAAATGGATCGTTCACGAACAATGACCGAACAAAATGAAAAAAAAAACTAGAACGGGTCCATCTATAAATGCTATCTATCCCAGCTGTTACCCAGGGGCATTATGGGTAACATTCATTACATACATTACATACATAAATTTTTGACGAAGCGAAATTTCCTGTGACCCTCCATGCAAAAATGGCAAATCCCGATTTATGGCAAAGAAACAATGAATAGAAATATACTGATTAAAGTTCTAGTTGTTTTTTAAACAATTTAAAAATTAGACTAAGAACATTTATAGCAGTCTCAAATTTAAGGATAAAAACACAGGGGGACATTATTATGGAGAGTACAGTGTTAAGTACAGGGTGTTGAAAAAAGTGTCGTTCATCTTAAACGTTTTATCTTGATATCCAATGTTGGCACTTTTGGTTTGAGGATTAATACTTGACCCCTTCCTTTCTGTTATTCCTTCAGAGTACGATAACACCGGGATATTTAAGAGGAATTAAATTAATCCGTAGGTCTCCAAAAGATTATGTACAATGCATAATCCTAGAATTTACAATGCAAAACTTTTGATCTATGAAAATTCACAGTCCAAAGAAAAGCGAAATCAGGAAATAATTGAGATTTTCAGGCTAAATCTATCCAAATAATAAAAATGATTAAAGGGTCGGGCCGGTCTTATTAGTTGGTAAAAAATTACATAAATGTGTAGATTGGAGTGTCTTACATACAGTTCTCAAAATACTGTCAAATCAACCTATTATGAGTACTAAACTCTTCCTTCCTTGTATAAGAATGTTGCGTACTTCATGCATCTTAATTTCCCACCGGCCTTTTTACATGGGCATTTTCTGGAGTCTGTAAAAAAATTGTTCCGCCTAAAATTTCGCATTTTTTCACATCTCATTCTTTCACGAAGAATGCTAGCTTTCTCGCGAAATTT